AAAAAATAATGGTTCCGGAAAAACCATTTATTACGAGACTGGCTGATGTTTAGAAGAAATTCTTTGGCAGGAAAGCATTACAGTAAGACTACCTTAATTTTGCTTGCGAGTTGTTTGTCAATTAAATTTTATAACTTTTAATTGTTCTTGTTACTTTCTTTCGGCATCAGGTATCTGCAGTAGATAGTGTTGGCGAGGGTGCAAAAACTGAACCGAAAAATATCACATTTGGCATTGAGGGCATATCATCATACGTTGGGGACTTGGAGGGAACACCTGTTGGTAATACCTCCATCAAGCTGACGTGGGTGGCCCCAGCTAATGACGGTGAAAAGATAAACAATTATGTGGTACATTATCAGAATCTGCTTGGAAATATGGTCACCCGCATTGTTGATAAGAAAACACTTTCTTATGTTGGTAAGTATCATAATTATAAGAATACATGATCAATAAAAAATTATTTGTAATACAGTAAAAACTCTGAAAACCGGACCCTGTCCGGACTTGACCAAAAGTCCGGTTTTCAGAGGATTCCGGTTTTCAGAGGTTTTATACATTTATTGATAAGTATGATGCGTTTGAACAATGAGTTTGTTCAATCATTTTGTATTTACTTTTCAACCCTTTTGTCTAAGTCACATTTTAATTTCTTTTTGCACTGAATGTCTAAGTAATTTTATTATGCAAATCCATGAATATAATTCTGAAAATCAGAAAGTAAAAACACATTGTCTGAAATATATCATAATACCTTTTTCATTGGCTTTGAAATATGTAATTAATGAATTTGTATTACTATTTTTGCATATAACTGATATCCAAACAAAGATAACTTCAAAATCAAAATTTAAAGCAAAACAGGAATCATTTATCCAAAGTTTGCCAACTCTTTTAGATATTTTATAGTTGGAAAAAAAAAACAACATAACACACTAAAAACATTTTTTAAAAATCATATCTATACAAGGAAAGACACAAATTTTATAAAAGAGCTATAATTTAATTGACAATAAGAAATTAACACATACTGACAAGTGTTTTCACACCTGCATAAGATAAAAGGAGATTACCATTAACTGGTAATTGGACATGTCACCTGTTGAGATTATGTTTAGATCTACATTAAAGTACACAGAAAGTTGACACTTTAATTTGCTGTCCGGTTTTCAGAGGATTTTTTAAGCATGTTTAGCATTAGAAGCCATAGAAAATAGTCCGGTTTTCGGAATTCAGAGGTTCCGGTATTCAGAGGATTTTTGTCAATGAACATATAGGGAGAAAATACGGGACTTTTAAAATGGTCCGGTATTCAGAGGATTCCGGTATTCAGAGGGTCCGGTTTTCAGAGTTTTTACTGTATAAGGCTTTAGTCAATGAATTGTTTTATGTTTAAAGAATGTAAGATAACTTTTCTTTGTTATTCTTTGTTTTCTTAAGGGATTTTTTTGAAAGCAGTTTCAATATTTAGTATTAAAGCTTGGAGCAGTATTTTTATAATACAATAATTTGAAAACATTATGATATGATCTTTTACACTGTCTTATTATATGAATGAATATTATTATCTTTTTAGTTGAGGACCTTTGTCCAGGGTCATGGTACACGTTTTCTGTTGCTCCTAACAACAAGGTATCAGGGACAGGACCTGGAATCTACATCTCTAGTAAAACAGATGGTATGTTAACATCAATTGAGCCGTGTCACGACAAAACCAACATAATGGGTTTGCGACCAGCATGGATCCAGACCAGCCCGCGCATCCGCGCAGTCTGATCAGGATCCATGCTGTTTGCTAACAAACTATAACAAGTAGAGAAACTAATAGCAAACAGCATGGATCCTGATCAGACTGCGTGGATGCGCAGGCTGGTCTGGATCCATGCTGGTCGCAAACCCATTTTGTTGGTTTTGTCGTGACGCGGCTCAATTCTATTATAACTCTAGATGAAATGTTTTAGTTTTCAAAAGAATATGAATTTGAAATGTTGTAGAATTTCATTTAAAGTATATTTTACACACTACCTGTTTCAGTTAAAATTAAGTTACTTTGTTAATATTAAATATATATATTATATTACTATACAGTAGAACTTTTATGACTCGAACTTCGATTAATCATTTCTGGATGTGTTGAGGTCAAACAAAAGTTTTGATTTATTCCGCTGTATATTATCTTTATGTAAAACCTATGCACGAGTCGAAATTTTAAATGTCGAAATTTTCAATGTATCGAAGTTTTCTTGTGGTCTGTAAAGAATAAATCAAGTACAATTTACCATCAATAAGTGTAAGTCACACCTTCTATCTCGAGACATTTTTCACACCTTTGCTGGCCGCGAAGATGATTTCTGATCAACTTGTGTGACAGGTGTTGATAATACAGCCTTTGTATGTGTTCACATGTATGATTATATGCTCTAATTGTTATTATTCAAATTGACGTAGTTGTATTTGAAAATAAACAGGACAAATTAGATTTGTTTTGCGAACTTCCCGGTTTCGCGTGATAATCACATGGGAAAAATTTACTATAAACTGGTTTAGTTATTGCCATTTCATTTTGATACCGTTTTGTAACTCTCTTGTTCGCAACAAATACTTGAAATTTTGTCATTAAATTAAGACTGATTCATTAGACGAAGTCCCGATTTGTCGAAGTTTTTACACAAATCCCTTTAATTTCAACTTACCAAAGTTCTACTGTATATAAAAATGCCATATTTAAAAGCTAACAAGAGTGGTATATTGCTTTTATTAACATTTTAATTGAAGTTTAGCAGCTATTGTTGGTCATACTTTTGTTTTGTTGTTGTACAGGTGCTGCTATAGGTAAAATCTCTAATATAAGTGTGGAATGGATAGCACCTGCAGTGTTGAAGGTATCTTGGCCAATTCCTGATGGAGCTAGCCCTAATGAGGTATAGTATGATGATTCAAATATATTTGTATTTTATAAGTATTTAGATTTTTTTGTGTGATAAAGTTAGCATAGTTTGCCCCTTAAGCAATCAGGCATTCTGGTAAATATGTTTTTTTTTTTAAATTATTTATAGATTAGATTTAGACATCAAGTTGTTCATACTTTGAAATTGGTAATAAACTTGCGTTTCAGAATTACACAGTGTATTACGACTACGACCCCGATAATTTACACTCGCATAAAGTATCACAATACGCAAAGAAGAGGATAGTGAATACAAATTCTACAATAATCGATGGACTGAGAGGGTGTGAGTTGTACTATTTCAGGATTGCCCCTGGGAACTGTATTTTATCAGAGGTGAAGTCAGAAACAACATACTACGGTAAAATATTTTGTTTACATAGAGGATATTTGTTTGTTTTGCATGTAAGATTGAAATATAATTTCACTGAGTGAACACCAGGTGCAATATTTTCACGAGTGGCGTAGCTACGAGTGAAAATATAATAGCTGGTGTTCACGAATGAAATATATTTCAATCTTATATGTAAAACAAATAAATTTTCTTTTTATTTCATGCTTTTTAAGTGATTTTAAGTATTTTTTTACTGATTTTGCCGCGTAACGTCGCGCATTCTCCTTTGTGACGTCATCACATCATGACGTCACATCATCAATTTTGAAATATAGTTCTGTTAGATTTCTCTAATTTTGTTACATTTTAACCATGATTTATGGTGACATCGACTTTCTTTTCCTAAAGAAGCAAAATTTACGTATGACGGCATTTATTTCTGCCTGTTATTCCATTTAGTTATGATTTTCTTTTCATCCGCATTCAGATATAGTCCGGCTACAGTGAAAATTATATTTTATAAATTTCACTAGCGGTTTATCAGAATATAATCATCTGATATATTACAATAAAACACTGGAAAGCATTAAATAAAACTGCTTCTTATAACTAGAGATGATATGTTTTAACTCTTAGATACCACTTGCCCCTTACCGCTGTGGGTTTGAATCCTGACAGGGACTTTGAATCTTTCATGTGAGGAAGCTATTCAGCTTGCTTACAGAACGTAGGGGGTTCTACTCAGGTGCCCGTTCTTGCCGGAAATAATGCATGGAGTGGCACCTGAGGCCTTCCTCCACCAGTAAAGCTGGAACGTCGCGATATGACCTATACTGTGTCGATGTGACGTAAAACCCAATCAAAACAAAAAACTCTTAGATACAATATTAGGTTTAGGAAGTAATATTTACTGTATTTAGTCAAGTTTTAGATGGTTTAAGGCATTCAGTTTTTAGATGGTTAAATATTAGGGAATTTGAAATGGTTAATACAGCCATATGAAGGTGTGTACCTATGATTTGTAACCTACATGTATGATGTAGTTAGAATGATGATTCTACTCATTTGCCAGACTTGTCTTTCTTTTAAATAATACACTTAGGACTTCTGTAATTTTTCTCCTCCACTTCAAACTGTAATTTCACTATATGACTTTAAGTAAAGTAAAAAGTAATTGCATTTTATAGTCTAAGTTTCATGCTTACGCACGTTCACCGACTTTACAGCTATTACCCCTGGTCATCGGGCTACTGGTATCTATCTATCAATCTCCCTGGGGAGTCTTTTAACTCCGCTTAGTGCAGCCGACACTTTGGTGCAACGGATTTATACCACCCTCGCAGGTACCCATTTACACCTGGGTGAAGTGAAGCAATCGCAGGTAAATTTCTTGCTCAAGGAAATTAGCAGTGCCCCTAGTGGGGTTCGAACTCGGGACCTCTCGATCCCTAAGCGCGCTTCCTACCACTGGACTACTGCTAAAAGTGAAGTTTGGATTTAAAACACAAATAGAAAGAAAATTGTTTGTACAACTGTCATAGTAAGTACAAGTATCCCATCCCTATTGCAATCTTTAGGGAAGTGAGCACATTGAGGGATATGATGGCCCTCTTGTTAAATTAACTAAAACACTTCATTTATATAAGATCTGACATAAGAGAATACAACAGTTATGAGAGTATATTTTTTTGTAGATCAATTGGCGGAACCAGAAGATCTTGCCTTCCACCCAATTAATATGTCCAGTGGCAATCTTACTTGGAAAGCGTCCTGCCCTAATGGGGAACCGACAGTATGTATTATTATACAGTTACAATATTTATGTAACAATTTTACCCTTAGCCTGTAATTGCCAACAGAATCTACCCATGTAACAAGAGCATGGGTAGAAAGATCAGTTGGCATTTCTGTGTTGCCCGTTCAAGGTCTGATCATGGTCTGCACTTTTGCTATTTGTTTGATAAATATTAGGAAATTTTCCCCTAAAACAAATGAATGGTTTTGTCAAGGCTGAAAAAATGGACAAGTCCATTTAAGACATTTAACATGGTATTAAGGGTTAATGCCCAGAATCCTAGCATGAAAAAGGCTGTCCTATGTCACTGGTATAATGTTTAGACATCCAGTTCTTTTGAGCAGTTAAAACAAGCCATATATACTTTTGGCTTGTAAGATATGAGCACTTGAATAATTCATGTATGATTAATATAAACCTTTTAAAATTCATTGACAATATAGCTAAGCCATCCGTTGCTTCTTTTGCATTTAGACAATAAATCCTGTTGTATTAAATTAGTATTTTTTATTGAAGTCAAAATATCACTTTGTTTACGTGTTTTACTACCTTTGATTTCAGTTCTCATAAAAACCATAACTCTGCCTTGCATAATATTAGAGTTATTGCCCCTTTTTTCCATTTTTACACTGTGAACTTTGTCCGTGACATAACACTGAAACTACAAGGGATTATTACATCAACAAGAAGTATTTTCTCTGTGTTCAAAACCTGTTTGGGGAGCACCACCTGGTTCAACCGGCTCTTGTTTGTTTTTCAGGGCTACATTGTGTACAGAACAGAGGTGGCTACTGGGAAAAAAGTTGTTATTCAACCATATAGCAACACATCCAAAGTTGAACTTTTTTTGACCTATACAAAATTGACTCCAGGAGCAACATATAAGGTCACTATAAGGAATACAAACAAGGCAATTGATGGTGTTGATCCGAAAATGTCAGAACCTATGGTGTTTAATATGGGTAGGTTGACCGCTGTGCTTATAGTTTTCTTTTGATAGTTAAAATGACTAATTGTGTACAAATCAATCCAATAAATCAGGTACATATTATTCATGAACACATATTTCATTCTGTTTCTGAATATTTCTGAATATTTACACACCATCTTATATCAAATCAGATGTTACAATTCAAATGACATCATGAAAATTACATCTCTGCTCAATGAAGTATAAAATATTTTGATTGATTGCGTTTCTACTTGCTTGTTTAGATTGAAATAAATAAATACAATTTTTTTGTGTATTGTAGCACATAAATGGTTTATCATTTTAAAGCTTTGTAATTAATTGCTCAGGCCTGCCGGTTTTCATGATTATATATCTGTGCGTATTAACAATAACATTGCGATATTTTACATGTTGTGCTGTTCCATAATAAATGGCATGAGAAAACTACTTTGTCAATGATGGTAGAAAATAAAAAAGTGAATTGCCCTTGAAATGTTAAAAATATATATGAATAGGTAACAATTAGTAAATAAGAGAAGTTTTATATTTATTTCAAGAGCTAAGGAATGGAATATCGTGCATAAAGAATTCAAAAATGTCAGAAATATCAATTTAAAAAATAATAATGGTGTTGAGTGTTATATTCCCATATAACTTCCTGTTGGCGTTCATTATATCATCTGTTGTAAAGCAATCGCTGCATATCTTTTTGTTGAAGAAGTGACGATGTGATGATGAGTGATGTATCTATCTCTTTATAGCAATTTGAGCCGTGTCATGACAAAACCAACATAGTGCGTTTTGCGACCAGCATGGATCCTGACCAGCCTGTGCATCCCCGCAGTCTGATCAGGATCCATGCTGTTCACTATCAGTTGCTCTTCTTGTTATAGGGTTTGCAAGAGAAGAGCATGGATCCTGATCAGACTGAGCAGATGCGCAGGCTGGTCTCGATCCATGCTGGTCGCAAACGCTTACGTTGGTTTTGTCGTGACGCGACATTTAGTATTTCATTCCAATTTTATGTTTGCAGATCCATACCCAAGCCCATTCAATCTACACGTGAAATCAGCTAGTGAGATTGGAGACAGTGGTGTGCTCGTCTGGATTAAACCTTCTGATGTACCAAAGGAAATATTTAAGGCAAGTTATTTGATAATTAAGTGAATATCAGAATTTATTTTAGGACACATACAGTAATTGTATATCTATCCATCCACAAGCAGTCAGGTGTCATTATTGGATGAATGCCAGTGGTCATACCTTACAGACAGTACTTGTAGGGAAAAAGACAGTACTGGTAGAGAAAAAAGTTGCTTATGAGGTGAAAAGATCTTAAACTTAGAGATCAAAGAATATCTAAGAAATGGACACATAATCTCAACTTTAGAAGAACTTTCACCATCGTGTGTTCAAATCTTGTCAGGAACATTAGATTCTATTCAGCTAGATAAGTGAGCATATGTAGAACCACTAGGGTGCCCACTTGTACCTGAGATAATGCCCGAAGAGGCACTTGGGATCTTCCTCCTCAAGTAATCCTGGAAAGTTGCCAAAAGTTTTCAACCAATCACTTATGATATTTGAATGTTAACCTTACAGCTATAAAGTACTTTCTTAAATAAAGAGCAAATCTTTTTCCTATCCATTGCTTCTTTTTTTTCACAGGGATATGAAGTTTTACTATGCAGTGACATACATAATGAATATATCAAAAACGATGGGAAATGTAAGAACAATACTGACTACAAACACTACGCCTATTCGAAGAATAATACAGCATCATACAATGGTCTCACTGTCGGCTATCATTACTTTAAAGTCAGATTGAACAAGATAGATGGTTACTATGGAAACATGAGTGAAAATTTTACAGTGACAGTTCTCGGTGAGTTAGCAATCGGATATATTGTTTTGATTATAGGTACCGTAGTAAAATTGAAATCAGAATTATTTTAAGGATTGTCTACCTCAAGAAGACATGGAACAACACTTTTTCTTGATTTAAATTCAAAATAAAGCCAAAGAAATTTTGTCAGTTACATATATTATGTAACAAAATTCTTCTAAACCTTACCCAGGGATATCTATATATATATACATTGCAAGAAGTTGGTCTGTTTCTCCAAAATCAGTATGTCCGAAGCTGACATTTCTTCGATTTATTATGGCCAATGAGTAGTTATAATAAAGCTTGGTGTGAGGAAACTACCTTTTTACCAAGGGAAATAAATCTGATTTACATACTTCTGATGTAAACACAAAATGACCTGGATAAACCAAATAATCACATATTTTTTTGAACATTTGATACATTGTTTTAATATGGTCCATAGATGTTGAATTTTGTTATGTAATGAAGTTATTTAGCTAGGTCAGTAATTCTACATAGTAATGGCTTTCATTTTGAAACATAACAAGAAGAGGTGCTTAAAACAAAATATAAAAAAAATAGTGATTTACTGTAAAAGTACATAATGTTTATTCTTGATTTTAACAGGTGGTGTGGAAGTTGTGACACAGGCTTCGTCTCTTCAACTCTCACAGACAAATATGATAGCCATCAGCGTGTCTGTTGGCGTGGTGATAATGGCGTTGGTTGTAATTATAGGGTGCTTTGTTGTACGTCATCGTAGGTTACAGAGATCATTCCATGCATACGCTAGAAGTCATTATGACTCGTCGTCAGGGACAACAACATTCTCTGCTGCTGATGAACTTGGTATGTTTATAAGACTTTTGGATAAAAAGCCATGCTAGATTTTATGTTGGATTACTTTACTTTGAATTTAGTGAAAAAGAAATGTATGGTATTTGTAATGAGAAACTTATGTCTGTTACCATTCTGGAAAGGAGAGATCTTTTGAGAATAATAAAAAAACAACAATTAGTTGAAAATCTCAGCCCCCATTTAATTTATACAAATTTATTTTAGTTTGATTGTGTTGGAAGCTATAAGCTTATTGAAAGACTCAAATTTGTTCCTGGAACCACAATGAGTGTAAAGTTTCTTGCTCAAGTAAATAACAGTTTGCCCCTGATGGGGATTGAAACCACACGACCAGCAATCCTTAGATTACTAGTCTGAAGTGTTAACCACTCGGTTATGCTGCCCTCTCAGCCCCTATTTTATCGAGACATTCACAGGAAATAATGTAAAGTGCAACAAAGTGTAAATAATGTTAAAACCTTTTAACTGTATGAAATTTCATAATTAAGAATGGAAAACAAAAAAGAAGTATTTGGTATCTGTATTGTGAAGCTAATGTTGATATTGTTGAAATTTCAGAAGACGAAGATTCGCCAATGATTCGAGGGTTTTCAGATGATGAACCATTGGTTATTGCGTAGTTACCAAAGGTTGCCTAGCAACAGTTTACTTCAGTTCCATGCAAATTGTGCTTTGTTCCTCTAAAAAAAAGGATGTTACCAAGTAACACATTATTTTCAATAAGACTTTTTTTCTACAAATTATTGTGCTTCAAAAGTTATAAAATAAGTGTATGATTTTTATTCTTTGAAAAACTTTTTCTGGTTTTTTACTCTTTTTTTTTCTTAAAATAATGATAACAGCTGATATTGGTGTGGGGGATATTATTTTTAATCTTGAAATAGATTACGGACAAGATGAGGCGATTCTTTTACGTGGTTTAAAAAACTACAATATACATATCAGTTTTATATATTGTATATGTGAGGATTGAAATCTGTATAAAGGTTTATTATTTAACTGTTTCTCTGAATTGGTGATCATTATTTCCATGATAGTGATTATTGTTTCCTTTCATTCTAGTGCAAATGTTTAATGTTAATCCTAGATTATATTTCTGTTTGTATCTGTGTTTATTATGTCCCTTACATCCATTCATTGATCAAGGGGCATGTTATTTTGTTCTCGCTGCCTTTTTGTTGAAAACTTTAAACCTTTAGATCGGGGAGGTGGGGGATATTTTTTTTTCTGTCAGTTTGACTACAGGTCCCCAAATCAACCGACATTTTGGATCTGCTTGTAATGATCTGTCTCCCTTTAAACAGCATTAAATTTGAACATTATAGCTTTTCCCTCAGAGCTTAAGTCGACACAATTTTCACTTTATAATTATCTGAAGCTTCTGTTATGAATTAAGATATGACCTTGACCCTTTGTGACCTTTATGACCTAGGTACTATAATCCAGGTCATATTTTTCAAAGTTTAGTAATATTCCTCAGAACTTTGTCTTTTATTATATGATTTAAGTGAGATGAAGTATACTACACTTACAAAGAAGTACAATATTTTGCCATATGTATATAGTTGTTGATTATTACTTTTAAATGTTAATTCACTATCTTGTATGTTCAGTTTCTGTACATTAGGCAACAATTAATGATATGTATTTTCATAATTAATTTGGCTTATATGCTTGTTGGTCAATTCTTTTTGGGCTATAAAAATTAAGGTTACTTTTTTGCTTTCTCTCTCTCTCTTTTGGTTTCAAAATATCTTGTTTGAAATCTAGCTTGTGATGCCCCTTAACCCTTTCCCCCATGAGCATATTGTGAAAAATGGCCATTTTCACTGAAAAGCCTCCTCTCACAAGTTCAAACTGCTATGAAACTATGAAAAATGCTTCAATACTAATCAAACTTGGCACAAATGTTGACTGGACCATTGCCTTTGTAACGACATGCTCAGTCTTAAATTTCCTGTTACCATGGCAACGAGGGGACATCTCAAAATTGCCAAAAATCACTTTTTTGCCTCGATTTTTTCCATCAAAATTTATTTCAAAGTGCTGCAACTTTTCAAGGGATTGAGATAGAGTCAAAGGCTTTTCAGCGTTGGTTACACGTTACCTTATGATCGACCTGGGGTCATTTTAAGCCTCTCACAAGTCCAAAATTTTCTTGGCGATGAGGGGGACTCCGCCCCCCTTCAAACCCCCCAAACAGAAGGGGGCACATCCCCCTTCTGGCAACCCCCTGATGTAATATTTGGATGGGGGACGGCGCCGAAAAAATGGTCAATTTTTTTAACAACATTCCTCAAACGAAAAACAGTGTTTGGGGCCTAAATAGGGCATTTTTTCACTGTTTGAGGCCTCAAAAGGGGGGGGGCAAAAAGCCGTCGAAACACGCTTATATAAGGGAAAAGGTTAAAGAGTAAATTTTTATTACACACATAATAAATCTGACCTTATAAAGTCAAGATTTAGAATTTTTAACAGGATATTTAGTAAAGCCATTTACAGTTAAAAGTAAAAAAATGCCTGTAGCTATTATGTTGCCAAATTTGTTATGGTCTAAACTTTAAGGGTGAGATAGAATTTCAGCAAAGAAAAATGCTATAACTCTACATAACACATACAGCTTACCTCAAGTTTTTTTTTTTGTTGAGTGTTGTATTAATGTATTAAGTTATTTTCCATACTTTATTTCATTTCAGCATTATTTCATGTTAGTGGTTCATTTTTACCAGAATTTCATAATATTCTTAACAAATGTGTAAACTTTTGAAAGCCAACAGATGATCTTGAAAATTTTGCGTAATAATTAAAAGAATTAAGTGAATTAACATATACTTAACAAATGTGTAAACATTTGAAAAATTGACATTTGATTGAATAAAACCTGTAAGGACTTTGGAAGAATTATGGTGGACATTTGCCCCCTTGGCTGTTTTGAAAGGGCAGCCATTCACTGCTCCCCCTAGAAATGTTGGGAGGGTGGGAAATGTCCGAGAGGGGCAAATATCCTAGAATCAAGAAATACATTTATGAACTCCATATACGTTTATTGTTTGTTTGACTTTAATTCTTATTTTGCATAGTCTTTTTTTAATTCAAATGATATACATGGCTTAATTATGTCTAGTTAATTGTTAAAATCAGGACTTTATTTCTCTTTTGCTTTATTTTCTGCTTTTTTTTAGGATTAAATTGGGAACATTTATTATATATTCCACTCAGATTTTTTTTTCATCAAATGAAGCAATAATGTACATATTGTATGTTTAAGTGCTCGGGAAATGTAAAATATAATTTGTGAGGATGTGATATGAATTTTGCAGTTTTTATTTTGCTCAAACTGTTTTCCCCTTATGTTGATTCAGCCATATCTTCTTTTTTTCTTGCTTTTTATGTTGTTTGTGTTAAAACTATTGTTACTATTTGCTTTACTTGTGCTCTGAGATTATTGTTTATTTTTATTAATTAGATACCTGTACCTTCAACAATACCTGCTATATGTATGTTTTATATATTATGTGTACAGCATGTACTAATTACAAGCTTTAAGTACCTCTGTCTTATAGGCCAACCCGACATATAAGTGAGTAAATGTGCTATGTTAATAATTAATTTTTTTCAGAAGATTTTTTTTTAACTTTTTTCATTTTTCTGAAAATTTCTAGATATTTTAGTGCATTAAATGCAAAATATAAGATCTTCTTTTTACAACAATCTGCCTAAAAATTTAAGGTTATAATGTTTGCATTTCATTTCATTTTAGCATGTCATTTTATATGATGCTATTCATTATGTTTTTAAACATTCCTTTCCAAGAAATTATTGCAGATTATTGTTTACATTTGAAAATATTTTCAAATCTGGCAAGAGTTCATTTCAAGCGTAGATCTGATTTCACAAAACAGCTGAAACTTATTTTTATCTTTTGATTTTTATGTTAAGAAAAAGATTCATGTAATTTACAAAGGTATTTGTCATGATTGAATATATGTGTGTATGCTGGGGAAGGTCTTGTATATAACAACCACCTTTGGTTAGAAAGCACCTGTCACTTTAATACCATTGTATTTCTCTACAGTATAAAAACTAATAAATGAATACATTGAAATGATAAAAGTTATGTATCTTTTACTTCAATAAAGGCGGTATTTATAAACAGGCTTCATTGTACATTTATTCTTGTTTTTATTTTATTAAAATAATGTGCTTTAGTTGTCATTTTGATGAATCTCTCTTAATGTGCTGATAGCTGTATAAATTCAAATACATTCCAAACTTTACATTAATAGATAATTTGTTGTGGGCGCTAGCTTAGCAAGGAGGAAACTTTATACTTTGTTTATTCTTTAATGGACTAACAGTATGGTTACTATGCAAAAAAGTTTTTTACAAGTATTTCACAGATTGATCATGCTTGATCTAAAAATAGACCATGCTTTCAGCTTTGCATAGAAGGCTTGATCTAAATTTAGAACAATTTAGCATGCTTGATCTAAAAATAGAAGGCTTGATCTAAATTTAGACCTTATTTGATCTAAAAATAGAGCATATTGATAGGAACATATTTGATATAATTTCAATCAAAATTGATCATGGAAACTTTTTTTTCTGAAAAGAAGTCCTTTTGAAAGAATATGTATTTACAAGTAGTGATACCTAACTGTTAAGTTTTTATTTAAGTATTCAGTGCCTTTAAAAGTTTTGTCTATATTATATGAAGAATTACAGTGCATAATATGCAATTCTGATGTTTTTACCTTTTTTCTGTATAATTTGAATTTTGTTACAAATTTTATAGGTTTCATTATTTGAATTTTAATTGGAAGAGACAATGTTTCATTTGTTGAATGTTTAAAGATGCATAGAAATGTTTATTATTCTTTCAATTTTTGATAAGCATTGTATTTTTGATTTGAACATGAATATTGTAAACAATATGATTTTTCTTATTCAGGTTAGGAAACCTTGTATGAAAATGTAAATAACCTTCTTTACCATTGATTAGCTTTTGCCACCAGTATAGAGGTAGGCCAGCTTAACTCAAGGCTAAAAATAGGCTTGATCTAAATTTAAAACTTATTTGATCTAAAAATAGAACATATAAAATTAACTTTTGCCACCAGTATAGAGTCAGACCAGCCTCACTCCAGGCTCTATACTGACCTAACTTTAAATATTCGTCTTTAAATCCCCCAAAAAAAAGATAATGGACGGTTCTGACAATGGAAGATGGAGAAGTTTGTTAAAGAAATTCGGCAGGTTTAAGTGTTTAAGGAAGATAGGCAAATGTAATGTTATACATTGCTTAAACCATTCCATGTTCTTCATTTACCTCTAGATTACATTTTAATTTAATTGATGATATTGTTTCACTTAAAACTAGGAGATGAATCTTTGTTGTGTCAACTTCACTAGATATTGAAGAAATACAAGAAACGTGTATACTATAGTCTGATTTTGAGCCAAGACTGATAAATATTTTACCCCCCCCCCCCCCCCCCAAAAAAAAAACAACAACAAAACAATGAAATATTTTATATCTTTTCACATTTGTTATAATAATACTTATTCCAGATTTTCATCTTAATCATTATAAGTGAAATCATTATCACAAGATATACTATGACACAATAAAAATCATGTAAATTGGCCTTCTTTTAAAAATTTACTGTTAATATTTGTTACTTTAAGCATATATTATTGAGTGCTAAAGTTGATTGTACTATATGATTTAAATCTAATCAGAAATATAACTATTGATTGCAAATTGTGAACAAACAATACTGCATCATATACTACAATACAAATTGCGGAC